CTTAATGAAGGCCGCTCTTAACCACAAAACCCCAAAACCCCAAAACCCCATAAGATTGAGTAAATTCTCTTAAGAAATTAATGATTTTTTAATTTTAAATTTCATTTTAATTTGATTCTTTTATTTATAGTCAAATCTTAAATTGGATCTTATTCTATATCTTAGCTGTCTCTTTCTAAATTTTTCCTTTTCATATTTAGCTTATCTTCTTTCTACTACTGTTCATCTATTTAATCTTATAATTTTTTATTCAGATAATAGCCGAATCCGACCTTTTAAAAGTCTTTCAAAGTTCTTTATTGACTTAAACCACCTGCAGAGAACTATGAGTTTTTACCGGCACTCATTTATGTATCAATCATATTTAATTTGAGTTAAGTGGCTGAAAGTGACTTCACCGTCTCTTAAGTAATTTAAGTTATGCCTCTACTCGTTTAATCTCTTCTCTATGTATCATTTACTCCTAATCTTGTTTATTAAGTTTCAATATCTAATTAATCGCTTTACTTTCGGAATATTTATGATTAATCCTCATATTCTTCATCTATATCGGATGTAGCTTAATAGCTATCCTAGGTTACATATGTTTTTTGGACCTTCTGGAACACTAACTTCTACTATTTCATATTGTCCTTTTTGCCTTTAGAACTAGAATTTAATTAGCTCTTCTAGGTATTGTTAATTTGAGTTTGCTCTAAAAATTTCTTGTGCTATACCTCTTCATCTTCACTTATTGCTTCAGGATTTTGGACTACTGGATCAGTAATTTTACAATTATGAATAACGCTGCTTTGATAACTTGGATCATCAGGGGAAATCCTGTTTTTAGAGTAATATTTCTCTACTGGAGCTTAACTCAATTTCATTTCATCTTTTTCAATATCATAGTAGCTTTGAGTAGGAGGATGCTAAAATTGGAATTATTTAGCTGTCACTGTTATGTCATTATCCATGAGTTGATGCTTAACCTCTTCTTTCTGGTTCTCAAGCAGCTTTTTCTTGACATCCTATATTCTAAGTTAAACTTTGTACTTAGATAAATCATTTGAGGTATTCAGTCTGAACTAAGCCACTTCTTAATGTTCCATCTACTCCCATAATTATAAATTTTGATGGTATAATAATCTAGATAAAAACTCATCAACAGATCCTCTGCTCTTTATAAAATAGGAATTTCTGAATCTTATCTATTTATAATCAATTCCATCCTTGCTTCCCTAAGAGTTTACTTAGCTACCATCAGGTTTAATAATCTCTTCTATCTTATCAATGACATCATACTTCCAATGATATTCAGCAAATAAAATGGCCTCAAAATGATTTTAGCATTCTTTCTTAAATCTTTTATAAGTGGCCTATTGAGACATGTTCTTATAGCCTTTTGAAAATGTTTGATAATTCAAGAGACCTACCACTAAATGATCTTATTACCTAATGCCATCCTAATCATATAAATCTTTAATTTGGTTGATCTCATCAATCAAGATATTTTGAGTTTATGATGAGTTATCAACAGTTTCATAAAAGGTAGAAAAGTTGAGATGATGGACCTAAGAATTATTTAAAGCTTCTTTGATAGCTTCTATTATTCTATCATTATATGCAACACAGATAAAACTTATACCATCTATATTTCTTTAAATTAAGATAATTACTTACTTTCAAGTAGCACATTACAAGTCTCAATAATCAACTTAATTTTTGTTAATCCTGTCTTATTAAATAAACTCTAAAACTCACTTATAAGTTACTTTCTCTTAGACTAATCATCGCTAGGAAACTCATGCTTATTAAGCATAAGAATGTCATTAAAGACACTTCTATCTGAATTTTACTGTTCATATTCTAGGAATTTCCCGTCTAATTCTTTTTCGATTATTTTAATAATTGGTTTAACACCAATAACTTCAATCATTTGTCATTGATATATAGGCAAGTCAATGTTTTCATCATCTCTAGTCCTTCTAATCGCAAATCTCTTCTTAAATATCAATTCTAATTCTTGATGAAAACTTCGACCCATAAATTCAACTCCACACTTCTTTTTAATCGGGTCACAATATCTATAGCAAAACTTTAAGTAGTCAGGTATGTAGTCTGGCCTCACAATTTTCATAAGATTATATATCTCAAATGGATTATTATAAAAGTTGCAGCCAGTTAATAAAGTTATTCTCTTCATGTTAATAAAGAATGGAACAAGAACCTTAGCCCACTCTGAATCTTGTTGCTTAAGAAATGAAGCTTAGTCAACTATTGCGACCTTAATTCTACCTTCTTTCCTTTTTTCAAATTTTTAGAGCATCTATTCATTAGCCAAAAGTTAATAAGAAATTATATAGATCTTTGCTGTCTGTGATATTTCTTCATTGGTAGATGTGCCAAATATTTGAATATATTCTAGCTTTAATTAGGGAATCCATCTAATTATTTCTTAGAGCCATTAATGTCTCATAGCATTTGGACACACGATAAGCAAGGGCCACTCAGGTTTGTATATTAGATTGATACTAATTGCAGTCAACTTTTTACCTAAGCCCTATAAAATATTAGTAATGATATTATTACCATCTAATCATTCAGTATTATTCTTCCATTCCTTTTGAGGCTCTTAATGATTGCTAATTTTTAATGAGGCTTCAGTACAGTGTAAATGCTTGGTGGCATTTACGAAATGTCAAAATTAGTCTAGAATATAATTATATTAATATATACTTACAAATGGATCATTGGTATAATTAAAATTTCCCAATTATATATCAGGACCAGTAAATGGAATTTTATGAAGAACTAGATTCATAATGAATGGGGGTATCTCTTCAATATGAATTTGATTATGATCACAAACTTTCTTAAGTTTCTCCATCAATTAATCATAATAAGGTAAACCGACTACCCACATTCTAATATCCATTAGAAATTTTGCTCCTTGAATAGCCCTAATGATATTTTTAATGATCTCATCATAAAATTTGTGAAATCTAATTCCATATTAGGCACCAGAAAATATTTCAAAAGTTATGAACTTCTTATAGGGCAGACTGATCTTTCTTTACTCATTATAGGTATTCTTCTTGTCCATTTGACTTATCATCTGCTAATCATCTAACTAAGTATTATTTATGCGATACCTTCCAGGACCACATTAAAATTTCTATGAAGATAAGATCGGGTTAAATCTTGTATCTTATTTGCAGTAACTCTCTTAAAACTTATGTTGCTTGGGCCCTAGATTACCTTTCAATATTTCTTGGCCTTTTTCAAAAAGCTTATCAGCATAATTGTTCTCAGGTTTGTTCTCATTTCGTTGCTTAAAAAAGCTTTGATGCTTATTCAATGAGATTTAATTTGAGAGGGTAATTTCATTATTTGTTTAATTAGGATTATCGAATTCTTTCCAGTGCTTATCATTTGTTTGATCAGATAAATTTTGATTTTATCATGTATTAACTATAATCAGCTCTTCTTAGTTTTACTTTCTGTTGATATTCATAGATACTGCTTTCTCTTTTAGATTCTTCAGCCATTTTTTATAATTTTGATCTTCCATTTCTTTATCTTCTATATTGCTCTCTATCTTAAGTGATGGGGTTTTGGGGTTTTGGGG